GAAAAGGGGATGGTACTATGAACTTCCTTGTCTCACTACTAGCCTAATATTAAGGAAAACAACAAGAAAGGCAATTAATGGAAATCAATCGCAACTGACTCCATCAATCCAGGAGCAGAGAAAGGCTAGGAGCTAGAAAGTCTTGCCAGTGCTCCTATTTCTACTTTCTTTCTGTCCCTGTGATGGGATTGGGATCTCGGCTCCAGAAAGGAAAAGCCCTAGACTTTCCCAAGTGGCCAAATCTCTGACATTCCCCTGGGGATAGAATCCTGTCAACTGGCCTTTCATTGTGGCTACACCCAACCTCCCTCCATTGTCTTGCCTCCCTCTCCATTTTCCTGGAATTCTATTACCTCATAGACTGCTTGGCCACTCCTAGATGCCTCCCACAGTCTTTCTGTATATAGAAGGTCTATCTTGTCTGCATTAAGATGCTCAGATTCTTATAATGTAGCTACTGCTCAGATTCCTAAAATCCAGCCTCTGTTTAGATTCTTATAATCTAGCCAATAAGCCAACAGCTCTTATTAATGTTCAGATTCCTTAAGAGTCTGCCCAATATCATGGATGTTCTAATAAAACTGTCTTTAGCTGAAGGAGGGCTTGGGTCGACAAGCCTTGGGGAAACAGTGGTATGTAGGGCAGAAGTCTTATGAAACTGAAGAGTTTTCAGTTGTGGAGAAAAAATCCATGTTCAAGGGCCCAATGGAATTCTATCAGGAATAGAAGCTCCTGTGACTAGAGGTTACCAAATAAAATCCAGAACTCATTCCATTCATTTCAAAGCTGTCATACATATTACCTACAGGAAGTATGAGAAATAAAGGAAATACAGACAAAAAGGATGAAAAAACAGATATTGTTGTGATCAGTCTGATCTCACAACCCCTATCATGACCGTAATATATTAGACAGGTTATCATCACTTCAATCCTAGGTAAATGATGCAGATAACTATGGCAATAGAATTAATTGAAAAAGAGGTACCTGGAAGACGTACTTGAAACAGTATGACTGAACTAGAAAAATCTTATTAATAAAAAAGAGTAAAATTTTGCTAACATTTCTGATGAATTTCTTTGGCATCTAGCACCATCTCAGAACATTGCTCATCTAAACCAGGCCTTCAAAATTAGTTGAAGCGCAATCATAAGCTCCTTTTCCTTTCCTGACAGATCTTTCAGTTACTAAGAAAAAGAATACAAAAAGCAAATAATGGAAATGAATTCAAATTGTTTTTCCCAAAACTGAGTCTGAAAAAAAAAAGGCTAGCAATTTGGACTTACTTATCTCACTAGTAGCCTAATATCAAGAAAAGCAAAAAGAAAGTTACTTAATAGAAATCTGTACAAATTGGCTCCCTCAATCCAGGGGCAGGGAAAGGCTAGGAATGTCTTACCAATCCTCCTGTTTTTTTTTCGATGTTCTTTTCCTTTTTTAAAAATTAATTTATTTTAATTTATCAACAATCATTTCCATAAGCTTTAGAGTTTTAAATTTTTCTCCTCCCTCCCTGCCTCCTTCCCCAATATGGTGTGCAATCTACTATGGGCTATGCATATACATTTCTATTAAATATTTTCACATTAATGATGTTGTAAGAAGAATCAGAACCACCTCCTATTCCTTCTTGCTGTCTCTCCAGAAATCAATGGTGTGAGTAGATTTGAAGAAAGGCGTTCTTAGCAGAAGTGAAGAGGCTTTCTATAAAGGTGAAAAAATATGACCACAACGTTGCACTTCTTTATTTTGTGTTTTAGATACAAATTTTTTGGATAGGTATTTGTCTCTTTGGGTTCTTGGTATTACTTTCTTCTTTCCCTTCCACTATTTTATAAAAGAAGCCTCCTTCAAAGGTCAAAATAATGGAAAAGAAGAGAGAGAGAGTCTGAGAGAGAATAAGAGATGGAGAAAAATAGAGAGAGAGAGAGAGAGAGAGAGAGAGGAGAGAGAGAGAGAGAGAGAGACAGAGACAGAGAGAGAAAGAAACGAACATTGCAGAGCCACAAAGAAAACATTTATTAAATATTACAAAGTGATGTTGAAATCTTAGATTCTTTGACGCAGGATATTAGTTAACAGAAAAAGCAAAGATATGCTATGGCAACAGATGACAAAATTTTTTTGCATTTTTGATCTGGAAAATGCTGTGTTGGAAAAATGAGACCGATGCAATGGCAACAGAGAACAACGCCTTTTAAACTGACCACCCTGTTAGTTCATCATTACCCTCTCTTTCTTGGTACTGAAATTTAAGAGTGGAAATGCCAAATTGTTTAAAATGAGAGACAAGGTCTAGGGTCCTCAAGGAAAAGGGAAAGAAGGATTGTTTAGAGATACACATATCACTTACCTTGACGTTCGCTTGAGTCTTCTGTGGGTAGAAAAAATAAAAAGAGATGAGTAATGTTTAGGACAAGAGTCCTATGAATCTCAAGAGATTTTAGTTGGGGATAAGCATGATACGTGATCGAGGGCCCCAGTGGAATTCTTTCAAGAATGCAAGTATCCACTTGGCCAGAGGTTCATATTCAGTCACCAAATCATCCTATGCATTTTAAAGCTTTCATAACTGTAAGTAGAGGAGATAGGAGAAATGACAGAACTCAGTATGAAAGGGTGGAAAAATTAGATATTATTATGTTCAGCCTGATCTCAGCACATCTCTAAAAGTATAGAAACATCTTTCCAATCCACCTATTTCTTCTTGTCTTCTCTCCCTGAAGTTAGTGGTGTGAGTAGGCTTGAGGCGAGGTCTGAGACTGATCTTTTCTTACAAGAAGTGAAGAGGCTTTGCATAAAGGGAGAAATCATGGCCAGGATGAAGCATTTCTTGATTTTGTGTTGTAGGTACAAATATTTTGAATTAGCATTTGTCCTTTTCAATTCCTAATATTACATTTCCTTCTTTTGTTCTTTTGCTCTCTGAAATTTCACTCTATGAAAGGTCAAAGTACAAGGGAGGGAGAAAGATAGAGAGAAAAAGTGTACATGCGTGTTTGTGTGTGTGTGAAAGAGAGAGAGAGAGAGACAGAGAGAGAGAGAGAGAAAGAGAGAGGGAGAAAGAGAGAGAGAGAGAGAGAGAGAGAGAGAGAGAGAGAGAGAGAGAGAGAGAGAGAGAGAGAGAGAGAGAGAGACAGAGACAGAGAGATAAAGATATAGATTCGGAGAAAGACTAGACAGAGGGGGACCGTGTAAAACAGAGCAAAAGACAGAGAGAGAGAGAAATACGAACAGTGCAGAGACATAAAGAGAACATTGCATGAAATATTACAAAGTGATCTTTAAATCTTTGATCCAGGATATGAGCCAGTTTAAAAAAGCAAACTATGCTATGGAAAAAGATGACAAAATGGCTTTGGATTTTTGATCTGGGGAATTCTGCGTGGAAAAATGAGAGCTGTGCAATGGCAAGAGAGAACAATGCCTTTAACCTGACCACACTTTTAGCTTGTCATTACCCTCTCTTTCTTGGTACTGAACTTTAAGAGTGGAAATGCCAAATTGGTTAAAATGAGAGACAAGGTCTAGGGTCGTCAAAGAAAAGGGAAAGCAGGATTGTTTAGAGATACACATATTACTTACCTTCAGATTCACTTGATGATTCGCCTGGGTCTTCTGTGGGTAGAAAAAATAAAAAGAGATGAGTAATGTTTAGGACAAGAGTCCTATGAATCTCAAGAGATTTCAGTTGGGGATAAGCATGATATGTGATCGAGGGCCCCAGTGGAATTCTTTCAAGAATGCAAGTATCCACTTGGCCAGAGGTTCATATTCAGTCACCAAATCATCCTATGCATTTTAAAGCTTTCATAACTGTAAGTAGAGGAGATAGGAGAAATGACAGAACTCAGTATGAAAGGGATGGAAAAATTAGATATTATTATGTTCAGCCTGATCTCAGCACATCTCTAAAAGTATAGAAACATCTTTCCAATCCACCTATTTCTTCTTGTCTTCTCTCCCTGAAGTTAGTGGTGTGAGTAGGCTTGAGGCTAGGTCTGAGATTGATCTTTTCTTACAAGAAGTGAAGAGGCTTTGCATAAAGGGAGAAATCATGGCCAGGATGAAGCATTTCTTGATTTTGTGTTGTAGGTACAAATATTTTGAATTAGCATTTGTCCTTTTCAATTCCTAATATTACATTTCTTCTTTTGTTCTTTTGCTCTCTGAAATTTCACCCTATGAAAGGTCAAAGTACAAGGGAGGGAGAAAGATAGAGAGAAAAAGTGTACATGCGTGTTTGTGTGTGTGTGAAAGAGAGAGAGAGAGAGACAGAGAGAGAGAGAGAGAGAGAGAGAAAGAGAGAGGGAGAAAGAGAGAGAGAGAAAGAGAGAGAGAGAGAGAGAGAGAGAGAGAGAGACACACACACAGAGACAGAGACAGAGACAGAGACAGAGAGATAAAGATATAGATTCGGAGAAAGACTAGACAGAGGGGGACCGTGTAAAACAGAGCAAAAGACAGAGAGAGAGAGAAATACGAACAGTGCAGAGACATAAAGAGAACATTGCATGAAATATTACAAAGTGATCTTTAAATCTTTGATCCAGGATATTAGCCAGTGGAAAAAAGCAAACTATGCTATGGAAAAAGATGACAAAATGGCTTTGGATTTTTGATCTGGGGAATTCTGCGTGGAAAAATGAGAGCTGTGCAATGGCAAGAGAGAACAATGCCTTTAACCTGACCACACTTTTAGCTTGTCATTACCCTCTCTTTCTTGGTACTGAACTTTAAGAGTGGAAATGCCAAATTGGTTAAAATGAGAGACAAGGTCTAGGGTCGTCAAAGAAAAGGGAAAGCAGGATTGTTTAGAGATACACATATTACTTACCTTCAGATTCGCTTGATGGTTCGCCTGGGTCTTCTGTGGGTAGAAAAAATAAAAAGAGATGAGTAATGTTTAGGACAAGAGTCCTATGAATCTCAAGAGATTTCAGTTGGGGATAAGCATGATATGTGATCGAGGGCCCCAGTGGAATTCTTTCAAGAATGCAAGTATCCACTTGGCCAGAGGTTCATATTCAGTCACCAAATCATCCTATGCATTTTAAAGCTTTCATAACTGTAAGTAGAGGAGATAGGAGAAATGACAGAACTCAGTATGAAAGGGATGGAAAAATTAGATATTATTATGTTCATCCTGATCTCAGCACATCTCTAAAAGTATAGAAACATCTTTCCAATCCACCTATTTCTTCTTGTCTTCTCTCCCTGAAGTTAGTGGTGTGAGTAGACTTGAGGCTAGGTCTGAGATTGATCTTTTCTTACAAGAAGTGAAGAGGCTTTGCATAAAGGGAGAAATCATGGCCAGGATGAAGCATTTCTTGATTTTGTGTTGTAGGTACAAATATTTTGAATTAGCATTTGTCCTTTTCAATTCCTAATATTACATTTCCTTCTTTTGTTCTTTTGCTCTCTGAAATTTCACCCTATGAAAGGTCAAAGTACAAGGGAGGGAGAAAGATAGAGAGAAAAAGTGTACATGCGTGTTTGTGTGTGTGTGAAAGAGAGAGAGAGAGAGACAGAGAGAGAGAGAGAGAGAAAGAGAGAGGGAGAAAAG